ATTACACATTAAATAAAATTGATTGCTGCAGTTGTAACTGATCTTCCTGATCTGAAGCCATGCTGATTATTATCATGTAATGAATAAGTTTCCAGATAATTCGTCAGTTGTATGTAAACTGCTTTCTCATATATTTTTTAAATGGTTGGTAGTAGTGAAAGAGGACAGTAGGCTAATTGGTTGTTTTTTTAGTATCATTGTTTTTATAAAGAGGAATTTTAGCAATTTTTATTTTAGAAGGAAATAATCCACTAACAAAAGATGAGTTAATTAAATGCACAAGAGGTTTCTTTGTCAATACATTATCTTGAGCTGATTCTGACATATATGTAACACGAGTAGGGAAGTTTACAAGATATGTCATGCTATATACCTGTAGTACATCATTTAGCATTTTCCTGTTAGTAAGTAGTGTCCAGTACATTAATATTTTGTCTCCAACAATTACAATATTTTAAAACTGTTTTAACAAAAATTTAATAAAGAGTCAAGCTTCTCTAAAATGGGATTAATTTTTACTGAAGGGGACCAATATATTACTACTAGTAAAATTTTTTAACTATTATGCTTGTACTCTAAAATACACATGCTTGTACTTAAATTCTTTTTCACAAAATTAAGTCTATGTTGGTATTTTCCAAAATATTTACTTTTCTATGTTTTACATTTCCATTTATTTTCCCAAGAATCAAGACACTACCACCACCAGATCTACTTCTTGCAAAAGATGAGTGAACACAATTGTTGTTTATATTAAATCTCCTGTCATTTTGTGCTCTTTAATTAATATTAAATCGGGATTTAATTCTTCAACTGTGATCTGTAAAGAATGTATTTTAGATGGCAGGTGTTATATATTTAAATGAAATATATCTAATTTAAAGCTTTTGTTGATTCAATTTATGTGATTTCTTTTGGCATCTGGGACAAGTTTTTTGAAGGCGGTTTGTTTGTTACAGTTGGTGGTGTACAAGATATAACATTGCTTACTTTATCCTTAGCTTCTAAATTACAATTAATATTCATATTTGGGGTTTGAGGAGGGAGTTGAAGTGTACATAGGGCAGAGAGTCCATGCATTACGCCTGCACCAGATACTGCACTGACACTAGCACACCTACTGACAGCCAACCAGGGCCGCGTTAAGGGTCAGTGGAGCCCTGGGCAAACTCAAAATCAGCACCCCCCTTTTTTCTAAGGTGCGGGCGGGCAGTAGTGGTACGGCACCCGCCAGGCGCCCCTCAACCACCAATCCCTGGGCATATGCCCAGTCTGCCCGTTTGTAAAAGCGGGCCTGAAGCCAATCCTCCATCACTTGACACAGTTGAAGGTGAAATTCACAAACTGGACTGGGAGGTATCATTTTCCTTTTGTAGTTGACTGTAGACTTAAACATCTTTGTGAACTGCTGTTGTAGTTCTGGTTGCGTCAGTGTGTTGTGGGATGTTATGGATACTAGAAGTTTTGACAGCGAAAGCTTCTCTGACACGTGTGACAAACGCGAAAGGCCATATCTAATGTTGGTGTTGGTTTTTTCATCTGAAGTTATGATGATAACTGAAGCATTAGTTGAACTTTGAAATTTCGCTATATTTTTTGCAAAGTGTGCAGGTGTGTCGATCTCTCGAGCATCCCATAGTAGAACAAATTAGGGTTTTCAAATTTGTTTATTAAATTCTTTTATTAGTGGATCAAAAGCATTGTAAAATATGTACTTGGTATTTCTTGGTTTTTTGTAGTACTCTGATTTAGTGACCATGCTAAAAACTGATGGCCTATTGTTAACTTTCTGCTGTGTTAAATTAGAGTTACAACAAAATTAGAGTCCGAAGCACATGGTTTACCAAAAAACTCTTTAAAAGCTACAGCTACTCCTGCACTCATGTTTTTTTCATGTGTGAAATCGGCTGAAATACAATGAGCGAAAGCAGCATCTACATTAAATTTTTGTTCTTGAATAACAACTTTCATGTCAGCCTCAATTACAGTAATTCCAGGGTCGTCTTGATTTATCACTGTAACTGTTTGATTTCACAGGAGTGCTGTGGTTGTACCAGAGTTCAGGCTATGTGTACTCGTGAGAAGAGAACAGTAGGCCTAGCGTTTTTTTGGTTGCTGGACCACTTTTCTTTAAATAGTCAATTATAATATGTGCCAATTTAGTTATGCCTTTGTTATTAAGGTGCAGTCCATGGGATGTGTAGTGATATCTTTTGAGTTAACTTAAATTGACTAGATGCACATTGTCACTTCTAGCTGTTAATTCATCGAGATACTGTAGTTGTTGACTGTCTGTAGATTTAGTTTTTCAAAGTGATTCATAGGCCTGTCATGTCTTGTTGGTACATACTGGTCTAGATTTGCTAATTTGGTTAAGTTTGTTTTCTTGGTGAACATATATATCAGATAGGTTTCCATTTAGACTGTCATTAGTGCCTTCAAGTATGACTAAAGGGTAATTGTTGTTATCTATGGATGCTGAGTCCACAACCTACAATAGAGTGGTATTGGCTTGTACATAGCCAAACGTGTTTATTTCGTCCAAGCTGTAGGTTTCAATCTTGTTGGCTACATGTCTACCTTGACTGTCCGAGCAGAATGTTAGATTAATATCAGGACATGTAATTATAGTTCCTTGGCTAGTTCTTCTTCTAGGCCTAGTGTTATCAATCTGAAGAGCTGCAGGCTTTGATATGGAGTCTTCGGGTGTCATGAGTTCTCTATTGAGTCTATTTGCTTTTCTTAATATCCTGGTTACCTTGGTTGTCGAGAACAGCAAACTTATTTGTTGTTACTATTTCAGGTTCTTTTGTCAATGCCTCTTTAGTTGGAATATGATTTCTTTTAGCTCTAGGTTGTATTTGGGTCCAAGATTGTGAATTAGGTGTAGCCAAAGTTTTCTCTGTATTGCAAGACCCTTTATTTTCCTTGACTTAACTATCTTTTTAATCACCAAATTTTAAAATAATTTGTTGTTTAATGTTGTGGAATCATGCAGGAGATATACTAATACTGAGCGTTTTAATATCACTTCTTCATTGATGAGTTTACTATCCTGGAGATACTGTACATTTAATGACCCAGTAGTGATCATGTCATCTACTACAGACTCTACACCCAGCAGGAGATCACACCACAGTCATAGCTGTTCAACTGCTGCGGGTCATTCAATGACATAAATTCAGTCATGCATGGTTTTTCACCAAAATAATTTGAGAGCTTTTGAGCAACCTTCTTTGCAGCAGACAAATTGGCATTGTTCAAGGAGTCAAAATAATAGAATTTATTGTTCTTTCTGTTTAATGACAATACACTCCGCATGGCATTACACAATTAGTGGGAACCGCTAATTACACTGCTATGATCTTCAGAGTCATTTATTAGTGTTAAAATAATATGTATGTTTTTAATTTACAATGGATCTAGAAATTGGTGAACATCCATTTTTTAGTTTTTTTACTGTATTGACAATTAATGGGTTTATAATAACCCATGTCTTGGTTAATAACTTGTTACTTAACATATCAAGACTGGCCTCAACACAGCGCAGCTATAAATATTTACAACTTAAACTTTTCAATGCCCTCCCTGAAAATGTACGCAACTTGCCTATTAAGTCACTGAAAAATGTATTGACCGATTTTTTGAACAGAAAGGTTATCTACTCTATCGAGGAATTTTTATCTTTCAAACATGATGATTTTCTGTAAAATTCTAATTGTTAAGTAGGGTATTGTTTCTAAAGTATGTAATAATGGTTTCATGAACTGTGATATAATAGTCTTTCATAATAATGTTATTTCTGTGAACTTTATTTAAATATTTATTGTTATTTAGTTTTAAGCTGTATCTCACTGCCAATTTTAGCCTTAATTATTTTGTTATAGGCACTTACCCAACTTGTTTGCTTAACCATAAACAATATTATTATCATCATTATCAATACATCTCAAATACTTTTGTACAAAAACCCAGTATTATTAGTTTATTAGTATAGCATGTTCATCTATTCACACTTGACTCTGTACATTGTACTTTGAATTGTATATTATCTCCATTGACCTGGCCTATTGTATGACATGTATACTTAATGGCAATAAACTATTTGAATTTGAATTTGAATCAAGATATGGTTGAATAGTTAGATCAGTTAACCAATTTGTGCCTAATAATTCAGTGGTGATCATTGATTTGCTCATTGTGTTTGATTTAGTCTGTGTCCCAGTGGATTTGTGGAGTGTCCCAGTGGAGTGTTTCGTAACACCTCTCTGAGTTGATTGAACTCCATGAAGTGTTATAAAAATGTTTTGAGTGTTCCGTTACTGTAAAACGATGATTTTTACAGTTTATTCATCAATTTTCACAACCAATTCATCTGACTTAGCCTACCTCATCATAAACATTGGCTCCGCCATTTTTATAATCAATGCACAACAGCCTCTCTCGGCTTTCTCTCATTATTCCTTGGCCTTACACATCACAAATCTGTTGATAAATTTCAATCGGTTTGTAATTTTTTGCCAACAATTACTTTATTGCACAACACACTTTACAACTGCTGGGATTTACAATTGTTGCACTCGTCTCAAAACTCCACTACATAAAGAGTATAGAAGAAACGATGCTCTAGCTACCACGGCTGGTCGCGTACTGAGTGTAGGAACACCCTGATGCCAAGACTGCGGTCCAAGCCTTGCCTACTGCCGTGCCAGGCCAAAACGCCTGTTACTTTGGATAGCCCTCGTATATAGATTATACGCCTAAGATTGTGGTGTCTTAAAAATGTGTACCAGTATTACAAAATAGCTGTTTGAAGCAACATTTTCCATTATGTACACTGAGCTAGACATTATCACCTTAGCTACCAGCTATATTCAGCCCTATGATACAGAGGAGAGTGGTGGTTAGTAGGGAACATGTTAAACCTTATTAAAGCATTATTAAGATTTTCTAGCACTAGCACTAGACATTTCTTATGATACTCGTATTTGTTTGGCCAGGTAACTATGAGAACCGCACTGTGTTTGAGTCTCTGGACATTGGCTGGCAGCTGCTGCGTATATTCCCTAAGGAGATGTTGAAGCGTATCCCAGCAGCTACACTGGCTGAGTTCTATCCTAGAGACTCCCGTCACACCCAGCCCAAGTAAACATAAGGTGACTAAACAAGCACTTAAGGTTTAACAATAAATTTACAACAACAATAGCCTCTCAGACCTCCAGCTGTGCCCTAACCCTGCTGAATTTTACCAGTGATCCCAATATTTGTTAATCAATTTAACTGCATTTTTTAAATGACTAAGTAGTATACAAGTGTGAATGAAATAAAACTGATTTTAAATTAAGTCACATGATTGACGAAACTAATGAATGTTATAAATCAAATTTATTGTAACTGAATAAAAAAAAGACAAAAAACCTATTTTCCTTAAATAATTCTGAGTACAATAAGGATAAGGTTGTTAACCTTCAAGGTATCACTCTTGACTCATAACTGTCTTGGAACCATCAAATCAGTAATGTCTGCAAAAAACTCGGTAGGGTCATCTGCCTCTTAAGGAAGTTTAAAGATTGTGTTGAAATTAGTTATCTAATAATGGTGTACTTTGTTCAGAGTGTTATGACTTAAGGTCTTCTAATCTGGGGTAATGTCTGTAATGTCTATGAATTTTTGATTTTGCAGAAGAATTGTCAATAATGCACCCTATCTAGCTCACTGTAGGCCTATTTTGTTGATAGTAAAATACCCCAAAAAGCAAGTATTCATTATTTTGATTGACCTTGGTTGAGACTTACATTGATAACCTTGCCCCACACAAAATCATATTAATATGAGTCTTCTGTATTCTATTGTAGTTTTATGATTGAGAAAAAGCTACTTATGCACACTTGCATGTTTACTGACCCACAGATCTCTTTGTTATAGATGCTGAGGTGCAGCACAAGCTCAAAGAAGCAACATTCCATCAAACCTTGTAGCACTTTTGTGAATAGTACTTACAAATGGATTGTGTATATATTATTTCAAACACAAAAATGTATAAAATATAGATTTTTCTCTTGCTGGTGAAACATAAATAATATCAGTGTGCTTGATGATAATTAATTATAGTGCTTAATTGACAGCCCTTGAAGTCAAGTTGGTTGCATTTTAATTTTTTATGTTAGTAATTATTGTTACTTGCTATTTACATTTACTGTATTGATTCGGCATGTTATGTTAAAAAATATATTGATTTATTTTTGTAACTAAAAACTACGGGATGTTATTCAAATTATTTAATAAAATGTTTATTTGATTGTTGTGTAAATACTCGATTTTGAAACCTTTACTCTGACAATACAATGCAGTATAAATGTATAAGGGATGAACAACCTTCAGTATTTTTCCGTGTATTTGTTTCGGTGTCTGGGTTAAAGTCCATTGTCTCACTGTATTTATAGCTTCCATTTTAGGCGTAGAGCTTTATTATTAGGTTTTCATGTATTGAGCCATATATTGTAAACTGTAAGATATAAAATGTTAAATGTTGAATATGGTTTTTATTTATTTCACTTCCCTTATTCTAATACTGAATCAAAGACATTTTGCACATCAACATCAGTAATTCACAATAGTTCATTAGACAGTAGACATAGTTCAGGTATTGTTGAAGAGAATAGAGTTTGTACTTTTTTCTGTGGCTCTTATTCTATATCTACCTAATATGTATGTACTAATGAGAAAAATTTACATAATCTTTTTCATGATGGTTATATACCCGGTGTCCCATAATACTCCCCCTCCCTGGGTTAAATTTTTAACGGCTGCATATATTCATTAGTGCTTCTTACTAGGGTAATGTTGAGTACGTTTTGGTGGTATTTTTAAATTCACCCTCGCCCCCATATAGGGGTTGCTAAGGGTAACTTAAAATTTTTAAATAGCAATCCTTATCAAGTAGCACATCATATTAAAGAATTTTGAAAAGGGAAATTAATGCTGCAAATCCGACTTTGATATGACAAATTTTCAAAACCTTATGGCAAGAAGAATGTTGGTTGTTAATCTATATATATAAAATCTAATGTATGTTTGTTTGTTTGTCCTTAATGGACTCCGAAACTGCTCGACAGATTGTAATGAAACTTTCAGGCATTATTAAGCATTATTCAAGGATGGTTTGTGTGAAGTTTGGTGCAGATCCGTCAAAAGGGCTCCGCCCCAGTAGCTCTGGAGTTTCCCATGTTAACCTTATGAGAACTCATATTTAAATGGAATTATAGAATCTTAACAGCTGATTCAACTAAACAATTCGATTATGTGATGTTAAATAGCATTAAAAAGTTAATAGGTTCAACAACAGGGTGCAGCACTATCTTATATATTTAAAAAACTTGGTTTTTCTTTTCCGAGTTCGTTTGGCTCTTCTACCCGACCGATTTTCATGATTGAGGTCTCAAATTGAAGGTATGCACACACAGATTTGCCATCAAGCATCGGCATATATTTATCTATGAACCCACTCGGCAAATACGTAAACGAAATTTGCTCCCCATGTATTTCTTATGGGAGTTAAATTAGGGTTTTCTTTTCCGAGTTCATTTGGCTCTTCTGCCCGACTGATTTTCATGATTAAGGTCTCAAATTGAAGGTATGCACACACAGATTTGCCATCAAGCATCGGCATATATTTATCTATAATCCCACTCGGTGTATACGTAAACGAAATTTGCTCCCCATGTACTTATGGGATTTAAATTTGGTTTCTCTTTTCCGAGTTCGTTTGGCTCTTCTACCCGACCGATTTTCATGATTGAGGTCTCGCATTGAAGGTATGCACGCACTGGTTTGTCATCAAGCATCGGCATATATTTATCTATAATCCCACTCGGTGTATACGTAAACAAAATTTGCTCCCCATGTATTTCTTATGGGAGTTAAATTTGGTTTCTCTTTTCCGAGTTCGTTTGGCTCTTCTACCTGGCCGATTTTCATGATTGAGGCCTCAAACTGAAGGCATGCATGCCAAGTTTTCACATTAAGCATCGGCAAATATTTACCTACTGTATTACTCGACCAAAACACATAATGTGATTTATTTTCTAACTCTTACTTCAATTTAATTATCTATAATCTCACTCGGTGTATACGTAAACAAAATTTGCTCCCCATGTATTTCTTATGGGAGTTAAATTTGGTTTCTCTTTTCCGAGTTTGTTTGGCTCTTCTACTCCACCGATTTTCATGATTGAGGCCTCAAACTGAAGGCATGCATGCTAAGTTTTCACATAAAGCATCGGCAAATATTTACCTACTGTTACACGACCAAAACACATAATGTGATTTATTTTCTAACTCTTACTTCAATTTAAGATTATCCCTTTACCAGTTAAAATTTTACAATCCTATATATTTTAACCCTCCGAGTGTCCCTTGTTTTGGCCTTAATGTCTGCCTATTTTTTGTTCATTTGCATGGTTTTATTAAAACGGATCTGAGAAGCTTGAAAACAATGTTAATTATACTGTTCTATATACCATTTTGTTTGGAAAATCATGGGCTTCAATATTATACATAAAACATAAGGAACATTTGTTTCAAAAAAATTTTTTAGGTAAAAAAAAATATTTTGGAAAATTTTCAAAAAAAAATAAGTTTGCGCTCAATGAAATTGTATAAATTATAGGCCTATAAATATTTGAAAATAGCCACTTTGTTCTAAATTTTATGAGGATTACAAATATATAATAATATAAGGAAGTAGATTTGCAAATAAATAAGTTATGGGCAAAAAACAGATTTCAGTACATAGCGTTTAGCTAAGAATGCATAGCCTAACCATAGCTAGGAATCTGGCTGATAATTTACATCAATATTACTACCTACTTCTTCAGGATTATCAACCAGCCCTTCAAAATCACTTAAATCTTCTTATAATGCACCACGTATATCACTACTTTTGATTTTTAACACTAAAACAATGATAAACGTAATAAAACACATCAGTCATCGGTGCGAGGTTAACCAAGCTGTTTACAAATACGCACGTCAGCTTTCTGCTACAATATTTTTGGAACTAGCTACCAATAAACCATAAAAATCCCCTTTTTATTTAAACATTTTGAGTGTCCCCCAAAAGGGGGGATTCGAGGGACAACTAAAAATGTTTCAATAGAAACCCCTATCAAGTGACACCTCATTTTGAAGTGTTTACAAAAACTTAAAGAATGGTGAAAACCAGAGCTCGCTATCTCTTCTCTATCTAAAATGGCAGTAAATATTAACAATTTTACCATTGATTTTCCACAACATTTGACGGGCTACCATTTTGGATAGAGATGAGATAGTGACCTCTAGTTTTCACCATTCTTTAAGTTTTTGTAAACACTTCAAAATGAGGTGTCACTTGAAGGGGGTTTACATTTATAAGATTTGAGTTGCCCCCCAAATCCCCCCTTTTTGGGGGACACTCAAAAATTTCAAAATGATAAAATGAAACTTCCTGCTAAGATTGCTCGACCATTAAAAGGATATCTCTGTATATTTACTTGGAAAAATATTACAGGGGGGGTCTTGACTATTTATTCACCCTGTATGCATGTAGATTACATTGAACAGTCAATAATTTCTACAATTATAAACAAAACTTCCCCGCCACAGCAAACATGCAGAATGAGCGAATTTCCATTTGCCTGATTGGATTTTCACTGAAATATCCATCTATAATAAAGCTAATGAGGATCACAAACTTTTGAGAAAACTATCAGGCGCAACACCTGTCGACCACATACTGGAATGAAAGGTCTTGACACCACGAACCTTCTGTTTACCAGGAGAGCAATAAGTTATATAAACTTATAGCTGCCCAGCGCCCAGCTGTATAATAATCAAACTTTCAGAGTTTCAGACCGTCAAAGTAGGAACCCCAAAAACATTTACATGTGACTGTCATACCTGAATCATAGACTGAGGCCCGGTTCACACGAGCGACATACCTTGCTGACTAGGTAAGCCCGACTGGGTAGTGTACCACAAGATACACCGGTTCACACGAGCGACATATCCACGGACTAGATGAAAATATCGATATCAAAACCACTCGGATCCATCACTGGTGCACAATGAGAACAAGGAGAGCTCAGCTGCAGCGCGACTACCCAATCACTCGTGTGAACGCTCCCATAAGGCTACGTGTACTGCTACGCCACTAGAGCGGGTGACTGGGTAGCTGCCATGAGTGACTGGGAAGTGGGCCCGACACCAAGCTTGAACGCGGCTTGATAGTCGACGCCCTACGCTCGTGTGAATGGCTCCATTTGATCCTGTGTGGTCCGCTACCCAGTCGGACTAATCTAGTCACAGCCTAGTCAGCTAGGTATGTCGCTCGTGTTATCCGGGTAACCAACACAAGTAGACTTCTCATCTCATTTTAAATGTTAAAGCTCATTTTACACAGATTGCAATAGTCGACAAAATTTTGTTTCTATTAATTAATTTAGGGTTAATTTAATGATTTGTGCTTTACTGTTTGGTTGTCTAACTTGGACACAAAGTATTGTTTATGATTAGATCCTTTTATTTTGTTTGACAATGTACTAAATGACTGAAATAACAAGAAACAAATTGTAAACTTAACATGACCTCTACAGTGCACCGGGCAGAACCAACAATAAAATTGTCTTCAGTTGTTCCATAAGGATGAGATATCTACTAAGGGAGTCTGTTTTATATCTGCTGATATTTAAAAGGTAAATTGTAATCAATGGTTCAGGGAGAACAATTTTACCTCTTTTATGTTCAATAACACACTCTGTGATACTTTCCAGTAAGTTCTTGATAATCACATGATTTTGATTTTTTGTGTATTAATATAATTTGTTTTGGTTTTTGCTTGGTTAGTTAAATGTTACATTTTTTTTTTTTATATAGGTAGCTGAAATAACATCCTTATTTATAAGCTCACTTTTTATTTCTGTAACCAAACATAAAAGATTGTGTGTCATGTTATTAAATATATAGTTCGGTATTATAATGATTAGATATTTGTGTAAAACTTATGTGAAACTTACTTCAATCCCGTTAAACCTGCAAAATGTTGTAGGAAGAACTTATTTTAGTTGTCCAGAACTTTCTCAGCCCTTACAAAAAGAAACAAAGTGGACTACTTCAGAGGAAGCTGTAAAATGCATAAAATCAGGTAACAGATAAAAAAGTGGTTATTCTTATTATCATTTTTTTAGTCCCGATAAACTATAAATTTTAAATTTACATACATACATTTCAGTATATTTGTTACCTCCACTAAATTTAGAATTGTTAGACCAATTTACAAAAATTGAAACGGTTTTAGTTTGACAACAGGTATTAGGATTTTGGAGTAGTTATGATTGGATTTTTATGATAATTTTGGAAGCTAATCCTAGGTGATATTCTTGGTTTAATCGTCAGATACATAAAATAATTTTTAGATTAATTTATTTTAGTGATCCTGATCTTTATTTTAACAACAAACTGATATAGATTTTGAAATGGTGTCCTGTCCTTGATTATTGGGCTTTTTATCCTAGCTAATAGAACATAACAAGCATATTCAGTAACAAAGCTTCGAAAATCACCTCATTCCTCTCTACACTTATCTGGCTTTCAAATGTAATTATAGCCTTAACGGAACAATCCATTTGTCCCAACACTTGGTGGGTGGCGTCCCCATCTCAACAATTGATAATCGATAATTGATTGACTGTTTTTTTTTCTTTTGTAGGAGATACTGTTTTCCTCAGTGGAGCTGTGGCCACTCCAATACAAATTCCTGAGGATATGGCCAAGTATGCCAAGAGTGCTGGACTGAAGAATATCAAAGTTGTACACTTCTTTACAATAGGAGATATACCTTATCTTGCACCAGACTGCAAAGGTTTGTTCTATCTCACATCATCTCTTGCTACATGCAAGATATATATAGATATATATATATATATATACCGTACATATATAAACATTTTAACGAATAGTGTTTTTGGCCTCTGGGGACATGAAAATGAAAAGAAAAAGTAAATCGTTCCGGGCTCAAGTTTTACCATGAGTCCTAGTAAAAGGTAATAGCTACTTCCCTATAGGAAAATTTGCTAAAATGTGTTTAGCGCTTGTAGAAAAAGACGACTGCTAACGAATGCCATACTGTCACTATATCCAATCTATATCTCTAGCCTATAGCAAATATATCTTTGTAAATATATCGATGAGATTTTGTTGTAGACTTTTTAAGTAGGCCTACATAGTAGATATTTTGTTTTTCTATATATTTATTTACTACCTATGTCTTCTTTTAAAAAAAATGGACTCTCAAACTACATTTAATTCCATTTAGTAACAAAAAACCAATAAAATTTCCTTACTGATCTCCTGTAAGCAAACTTCCTCTTTTGTTTTTGAGTTATTAAAAACTATATATCTACTTTGTGACAATATTCTACATTACATTATTCTCATCTTTAAGTGAGATCTGCTTGGAGGCAGGTAATCATGCACAATATTATGGCTGTACCAGTGGTGTAGTCGTAACTTTTCCAGCGTGGAAACGCTTACCAAATTTGCAGAAAAATAAAGGCCGCTTTACCAATATATAGGCTGTTTTAAAAAAGAAGAGTGGGAATGCCACACACCACTGAACTATGCCTCAATAAAAGGCTGTAAATGTGGTAGGCCTAATAAAGGTGGTACAAGCAGGTTTCCATAACCTACTATTGAAGTAACACTCCCCAATAAAGCATGCACTAACACTAATCAGTCCATAGTTGTAGAAGCTTATGTCAATTATAGCTTGATCAATCAATTTATTTTGCAGACATTTTTCATGTGGTTTCGCTATTCATTTCACCTAACATTCGTGAAGCAGTTGCTGATGGACAGGCAGATGTTATTCCTATATTTCTCTCTGACATTCCAAAGCTGTTTTTTCATGGAATCATCAAACCTGATGTTTGTATAGTACAGGTGAATATTTAATCTGGTTTTATATTTTATAAAATTAGGCTACCAAGATTATGCTTCAATAGTTTTTTTTAGTATTGGTGATTCCCCCCTTCATACAGGGTGATCCAGTAAAACGGCACGATTCTGACTCCAACTGCTTTTGGGGGGCTTTTGGGGGGTTATGAGGGGAAATGGTCCACGAGAGTCTGTTGTTGAGGGTGGAGCCTATTTACCATGTGACTTCGAAGGAGCCAAAATGAGGACAGTGCGGTATTGCCAAATGTAATTATATCAGCTAGTTTGAAAATATTGTTTAGTATATTTTAATTAGTGTCAACAAGTAGTGATTGGGTGATGTTGCAACGTCGCGATACTCCAGTCTTGGTACAGTATTGGCAATTCCAACTGCAGACTCTTGTGGCCCCTAGTATAAGCGTCAAGCGTCTTGACAAGTAGAAATTTTAGTAGCCATGGAGTGTTGCACGAGTGCATAACATGGGCTTCCTTTACAGGCAAATTATAAATACCCCCGCCACAGCAAACCTGCAGTCTTAAGCGAATTTCCATTTGCCTGATTGGATTTACACTAAAATGTCTCCTTAGAAATTTCACATTTATTCCTTATTCGAATATAATTAGTTTAACGAGTAGTTAGGTTTGCTGCAACAGGGAGGGTAAAAGTGGTTTTTTTTAGTGAATTTCCCATACAGGTAATAAGCTATACTGTAGTAGTAGCCCAGTCAATAAAGGGATTGTGTCGGAAGTAATTAGTGAAAGGCTGATTTTTGGCCCATCGCCTATTACCATTTAGACTGGTGTTCAGCCAAAAGTCCCCGCCCCTACCCCTCTTGCTTTCCCCCCTGCGCCCCCCTAAACATATAAAGTGTAAGGGTTTCGTAAATCACGTTTTTCTCGATTGTTAAACGACATATTGAATTGCAATTAGTTTTATTGTTTTTGTTATAAAATTTCCTACAATCACGTTCAGTTAACTTTCGTCGTAGCTGTTATCTTTTGTTCATTATTTGTACACAAATGTAAAGATTTATATATTTTTGAACATATAATTTTATTTTTGTTGCCTTAACTTTTTCCGCTGACGTTTTATGAAAATATGTTTAAAACAAAAGTTGTAGCTGCTTTCATTAGCTTTAAAATGATATATAATAGTACCTACTTTAATGAAAATCCTGCTAGATTCAGCCGGTGTAATGGAGTATGCGTACTCAATCAGTGAGCTAAATTGGGCTGGCGCGGCGTTGCAATACTATCATTGTTGTAATATGGAGAGTGTTTTTTTTTTACTTAATGCATACTAATGCATTATCTCCATACCCCAACGCAGCAAACCTGCGACTAAGCAAATTTTCATTTACCTGGCTGGATATTTACTCAAACGTTCCCTTAAAATCGTCAGAATTATTTCCTGGTCAGATTATTTTCATGAATACTTAGGTTTGCTGCTACAGCCAAGGTATTGAAGTGTGTTCTTGTATCGATATGTTGATAGCTTTTTATGAAATAAATAAATCTAATTAAAATATATTTATAAACAAGCAGACTACAACAGTTTTTTTTATCGTCCAAAAGAATAAAATGGGAATTTTAAAACTTAATTTTTATGAATAATCTCCGTAATCGTTAGGCGTTTAACGTTGCACCAATATACAAAATTATTTATTTTTTAAGCTCTACAAAACGGTTTGGAAAGAAATTGTAATAGTTTGTGGTTTTAGGGGGGAAATGGGAATAACCGACGTTTACCCCATAAAAAACCCTTATCAAACCCTATTCCCATAGTCTAATCATGCTGGTTTACAAACTCGTTCGAATGGACGTAAATTGATATATTTGTATCAAATTTCATCAAATCGGATCATTTTTGTTTGAGTTATCACGCTAACTGACTCATGTATCTATATATATAAAGTGATAGTATATATAGATATTTGATTTTAAGTTTTACATTTTATTTATGAATTTTAACGGTGGAGGGTGTTTTCGGCCTCTGAGGGCTTCAAAATGAAAAACTAAATCGGGCCCGGCTCTAGGTCTTACCATGAGACCTACGGTAATAGTTTATTCCCTATGAGGAATTTGCTAAAAGAATAACCGAAACAAAACCCATGTACAGTTAATACAATTTATTTCTATCCTTTGTAATTTAAAAGCATAAAATCATTTTATATGTACGTAATAATTTTATAGGATGTTATTTTTGAACAAAATAATTGCATTATCATGATTTGAAGTTAAGAATTACTCATACATCGAATTCAAAATTTCCCCTTACAACTTCTTTTCCCCCATATCTTACATTTTCAACACTGGGGTAAGACGACTCATCATACACTCGGTTTTTAATTTCTTGTCTTATCAAAGCCGCAGCTGTAGAAACAATTCTCTTATAATCTTATCACCATTATGCCTTTTATTTTAAGAGTACCAAGTTTGAGAAAAAATCTTGTCCACCCTATCTCTTAAACAAACTATGGAGGATTTATTTTTATGTTCGTAGTCTAATAAGAAGTCTTTCACCAAGTGATTAAGTAATAATGTTTTGAAGTACTTCGTTTCATAAACCTGGTCTCTGCCTGATATATTTTTCATCAATTGCAAACGGTTAGGAATACTATGCTTGCAATCACCATTTTCCTCAATAAAATCGCAAACTTTTATGAATTATTCTTTTAATAAATCTTTAACTGGTCTACCACGACCTACACACGTATTGGTGTGAATTTGTTCTTTCAAAAACCTAGCATAACAAGGTAAACAAATCCTTCAAGCCTGGACCTAACCTAATCAGCCCAATCATTTTTCCTATTTTCAATACATTTACTTATAGTTTGTTTAGTAGTTAAATTACAGTATGAACTCAATCGAATGCTTTCCTATTGTTTTTTTGGAGTCTTAAAATTTAAAAAATCGAGAAAATAAAAAATGGGTAGAAACGTCTTGCACGAAAGCGGTAACGGATCAAATCAAATCAAATCAGTTTTATTTCCACAATCTATACAAAATTTACAATTTTTCAAAAAATAAAATACAAATATATACAGTGTGTAAATTAAGTCTGGCACACATTTTTTATCTTTTTTTCTATAGTAGATAGAAGAAATCAATTTGCGGGACTGATTAATAACAAATGTTAGGCACTTTTTACCAATTTTGAAAATAAAAAGGGCAAGGGGTGGTGGGGGGTAACTAAAAATTTTCAAATGACAACCCCCATCTTGTGACCCCTCATTTTAAAGGTCATTGGAAGACAAATCCAAAGATGTGTCTGAAAAAAAATTTTTTGCACCCTATCCAAGATGGCGGTTTAAAATGTACTTAGGGTTGAACGGGTAAATTAGGTATGGCACACATTTCTTATCTTTTTTACGCTTTGTAGATAGAAGGAATTAATTTGCGGGACTGAGTAAGAACAAATGTTTGGCACATTTCATAATTTTGAAACAAATTCCTCCATAGGGTAAGGTGGGGGTGGGGGGTAACTAAAAATTTTCTAATGACAACCCCCATCTTGTGACCCCTCATTTTAAAGGTATTTGGAAGACAAATTTAACTATGTTTCTTAAAAAAATTTTTTTTGCATCCTGTCTAATATGGCGGTTTAAAATGTGCTTAGGGTTGAACAGGTGAATTAAGTCTGAAATACATTAAAATTTTTTCAGACACATCGTTAAATTTGTCTTCCAAATACCTTTAAAATGAGGGGTCACAAGATAGGGGGTTGTCATTAGAAAATTTTTAGTTAACCCCTACCCCCACCTTACTCTATGGGGGATTTTTTTTCAAAATTATGCCAAAAAGTGTGAAACATTTGTTCTTACTCAGTCCCGCAAATTAATTCTTTCTAATCTACAAAGCGTAAAAAAGATAAGAAATGTGTGCCATACCTAATTTACTCGTTCAACCCTAAGTACATTTTAAACCGCCATCTTGGATAGGGTGCAAAAAAATTTTTTTCAGACACATCTTTGGATTTGTCTTCCAATGACCTTTAAAATGAGGGGTCACAAGATGGGGGTTGTCATTTGAAAATTTTTAGTTACCCCCCACCACCCCTTGCCCTTAAAGGAATTTTTATTTTCAAAATTGGTAAAAAGTGCCTAACATTTGTTATTAATCAGTCCCGCAAATTGATTTCTTCTATCTACTATAGAAAAAAAGATAAAAAATGTGTGCCAGACTTAATTTACACACTGTATAGTAGTCTTGAAGCATTATACAGTACAGTGTTTACGTAAAATAATTCAAGTAAAATTAAATTTATAAAGTTATAATAGTATAAACTTAAATCAGCTATGGATTAGCTATTAGTATTGGAGTTAGTAGTAGCTATTAGTATTGGATCAGCTATGGAGCGCCACAAAAAATAGTGCACACGTTCCCTTCACGGTTAATATCTGGTATTACATAACCATAAAGTACACGTTTCAATATATCATTTTAAAGCTGATAGCAGCTACAATTTTGTTTGAAAAATGCTTTCATAAAATGACGGTGTTAAAAGTTTTGCAAACAAATAAAATTACGAGTAAATAAATATTTATCTTTACATTATTCTACGGATAACAAACAAACGGTAACAGTTACGACGAGATTTAACTGGACATGATTGTAGGAAATGTTATTACAAAGGGAATAAAACAATTGCAATTCAATGTGTGTTACATTTTTAACCAGATATTTGTTTAAAGATAACATTCTTTAAAAATACTACATACCTAAAAAAATAGTTACATGTTTTTTAAGATATTAACTAAATAAAATTTTTAAATGAATAAAAAAATGACTTTAAATGTTATTAACTTTACATGGGGATTTCGATTGTTTTTTTCTAGGATAATACAATAGTGTATCTTAATTTAAAAACAAATTCTATACATTACAACAATGATAGTATTTCGTGCCAGCCCCACCAAGACCAAACCCACTGATTTAGTACACATACTGCATTACACCGGCAAAATCTTGCAGAATTTTCATTAAAGTAAGTACTATTTTACATAATATTAAAGCTAATGAAAGCAGCTACAACTTTTGCCCAAAACATATTTTCATAAAACGTCAGCGAAAAAAGTTAAGGCAACAAAAATAAAATTATATGTTCAAAAATATATAAATCTTTACATTTGTATACAAATAATGAACAAAAGGTAACAGCTACGACGAAAGTTAACTGAACATGATTGTAGGAAATGTTATAACAAAGACAATAAAACTAATTGCATTTCAAAATTTCGTTTAACAATCGAGAAAAACGTGATTTACGAAACCCTTACACTTTATATGTTTAGGGGGGCACAGGGGGGGAAGCAAGAGGGGTAGGGGCGGGGACTTTTGTCTAAACTCTTGTCTAAATGGTAGTAGTCGATGGGCAAAAAATCAGCTTTTTACTAATTTCCCCTCCCTAAAAACACAGGTTGACTTGACTAACTATTCTCGCGGATCCGCGCCGCGAGCGCTCTTGCGCCCGACGCCGCCTCCCGTTTTCGGACTGATTCTGTCAACTGGCTGCAATTAAAATACGTAAAACCTATATCATTTTAAAGATTGAGAAATTTGCCAACTTTTTATATAAAACATTTTTCTCTATCTCGTCTCATTTCAATACAAATCAACTTAACACACGAAGGTTGAAATTTAAAAGTGAAGAAATTTACATTCAAACTTAAATTACAAGAAAACTACTGAATATATCGATTACACTCTTATTACGTTTTTTGTAGAGGATATTTTAAGGATTGAAATGGCGAAACAAAATTTATTCTATTGCTGTTTGTTTCTGAGATATTGATAAATTGATAAAAGATTACACAAATACACTTAAAAGGGTGTAGGGGGGAAAGCAAGAGGGGGAGGGGCGGGGACTTTTTAGAAAATGTTCCTTATATGATCTACTAACATCCATGAAAAAATCAGCCTTTCACTAATTACTTCCGACAAAGCACTATTTTTCCCCTTTATTGACTGGGCTATAGGCCTACTCATGGTAAGACCTGGACGCGGGACCGATTTTTTTTCGTTTTGAGGTCCCTAGAGGCCAAAAACACCATCCGTTCAAATTCATATATATATATATGAATTTGAACGGATGTGTGTGTGTGTGTGTCCTTTAGCACTATAACTGGAGCAAAAATGATCCGATTTTGATGAAATTTGGTATAAACGTGTAAACCTACATTTTTTCGAACGAGTTCGCGAACCAGCATGATCGGACTATGAGAACGGGGGTTTTATGGGGTAAAAATAGGTTTTTTGCATTTTTTACCCGAAAAACATAAAATTTTGCAATTTCTTTCTAAACCACTTTTTAGAGCTTAAAAAAACAAATAATTTAGTATAATGAAGCGTTATTATGCGCCTAATGGTTACGGAGAAAATTCCAAAAAAATGTAAATTTAAAATTCCCATGTTATTCTTATGGAGAACAAGTAAACTGTTATAGTTTGCTTGTTTATGAACATATTTTGATCAAATTTGGAAAATGTTTTTATTTCTTACTAACTATTAACATTTTACAAAAAAAAAACAGTTTTACCCTCCCTGATGCAGCAAACCTAGGTACTTGTTAAACTAATTCTATTTAAATAGGAAATAAATGTAATAAATAGGAAATTCATTTATTTGTTATTAAAAAAAAAATACCCCCGCCGCAGCAAACCTGCAGACTAAGTGAATTTCCATTAGCCTGATTGGATATACACTAAAATGTCTACCTACTTAAAAATATAACATTAATTGTAAAAATATAATCAATTGTATAACATTGATTTCACTCATGTACTTAAGATGTATGGAAAATAATTATACTTTTTTCCAAATAAATTATTTTTTATTTTTTGAATTCGTACTGTTTCACTGTCTCACCCTAAACTTTGTCAAATACTAAGTCTTGAATCTTGAAAATACAATAGAGTTTGATATTTTAGATTAATTTTACTCCATATTTATTCAGGATATGGACCAAATATTAATGATCCAGATTTTAGGTTTCACCTCCTGATGAGCATGGCTTTTGTACTCTTGGAACAAATGTTGAAATAGCAAGATCTGCTTTAGTTTCTTCAAAACTCATTGTTGGTGAGTTATACATTAACATTTTCAAGTTATTTTACTAACAATAAAATGCTGATAAAATACATTCTACATGTCAGAAGCGTACCATTTTAAATTATATTTTGAATACAGTAGAGTCTCAAGTATCTGACCTAAACTGTTTACATCAAGGTAAGATAACAATAAAAAAGCATGTTAAAATCAAAAAATCAATAAAAATTTTCTGCTAACCCTATACCCAAGACTTAACCGATCGAACCAGTATAGCCTAAATTTTTCCATTTTAAAACCAACATCACAAATTTGCAAACAACAAACAAAAAATCAAACGAATTGACGAAGTAACTGTAACTTTAAAATAGGGTAAGGCGATACACATTCACTTAACCACCATAAGTCTCAGAACGTGATTATGTTTATACCACCACAGCAGATAGGTAGTATGAGTTGATAATAAATTGATTAACTGTGTGGTGAAGCACACTAATTAATACAAATCTACAATCATATGCACCTGCCTAAAGCCTGGTCATTTTAATTTGGGGGCAACTTAAGAAGTTGTCTCCACGTGTCTCCCTTCCCTTGCAGTGTACAGTCACAACAAAATGGAAATAGCTCTCATGATGGTACTCAAGTGCTTTCAGAGGGGTCAGATAACACAGAATTTGGTTAATTAAGACTACACAGTATATCCTTTGTGTCTATTCCACATGACCAGCACAAGTCAACAAGCACTTGCCTTGTATGTCCCACTCCCACATTGACTATGCAGTGTTGCTATATGTTGAGCTGCTACCCACCACACTGTTCTCCCCCCCCCCTTCCCTCTGAGAGTGACCCGTCAACAAGCACATGCCTCGTACATTCGGAGATTCCTTGGTGCATACATATGTCCCCACATTGACTATGCAGTGTCGCTAGATGTTGAGCTGATACCCACCACACTATTCTCACCCCCTCCCTCTAAGAGTGACCCGTAGATGACAATCAGTAAATGGTTTCAGCACAAGTCAACAAGCACATGCCTCGTACATTCGGAGATTCCTTCGTGCATATGTCCCCACATTGACTATGCAGTGTCGCTAGATGTTGAGCTGATACCCACCACACTATTCTCACCCCCTCCCTCTAAGAGTGACCCGTAGATGACAATCAGTAAATGGTTTCAGCACAAGTCAACAAGCACATGCCTCGTACATTCGGAGATTCCTTGGTGCATATGTCCCACATTGACTACGCAGTGTCTCTAGATGTTGAGCTGATACCCACCACACTGTTCTCCCCCACTCCCTCTGAGGGTGACCCGGAGATGACAATCAGTAAACTGATAGGAGACAACCTGGTAGAAGATGGAGCCACAGTGCAAACAGGTAAGTGTCAATTGCAACAGTGACTTAAGAAAACCCTTATTTTTGTGAAATTATTTCTAATTGTATCTTTGTATTAATTTAGTGATTTACTTTACTATCATTTACTTACTACATTCTTCCATACGTATTAACACAATCTTCTGTTCCGGTTTATCCTGGGTTTTAAACTGTGTGACAGTACACCGCCAACACTGCTGTTTGTAGGCTCTCTCTTTTAATTTTTTACTGTCATGAGAATTAATTTGATTACCTATTTTCCTTACCTAAAAAAGATCACTCGAATTTAGATTTTAAAAAGTTATCAAGTCAAATGTACAAGTCAAAGTTGTCATAATTCAAGAGGTCTTTTCCATTTCAAAAAATAGTTCTAAATAGGTGGCTTATCAATAATTTAAGAATAGTGATCATCCTCATACTTCTCTTATCTGATTGCGTTTCAGTCTGTATCAGGGCTGCCACCCTTTCCGATTTTTTTCGGGACAGTCCCGATTTTAAGCCTTTTTTGCCAGTGTTTATGCCTGTGTTTTATCCCTGTGGGAGGGGGGGTCACGATTTTTCTCTAACCAAAGGTGGCAACCCTGGTCTGTATACAAGCAACAATATTATTCCTTGGTCTCCTCAGCCCACACCAATACTTCTTCAATATGCTTTAACTTCAGACTTCATCCTCAGTTTTTTATAATTATGTGATTCTAGGTTTTGGAAAGATACCGGATGGCATAATGCTCTCTTTAAAAAACCACAAGGATATTGGTGTTCACACAGAAATGTTTACTGATGGTGTAATGAATTTGGTAAAATCAGGAGTTATCACTAACAACAAGAAAACCTTGAGCCAGGGTAAAATTACAACCAGCTTTTTCCATGGTTCATCAGAGTTGTATCAATTTGCTGACAACAATCCCTTAATAGGTAACTAATATTTTAAACTTTTAGACTGAGTCGACAATCGACATACCTAGCATTATTTTATTTATCACTATTTTCTTAAATTATTTTTCAGCGGCTCTCAAAAAGCTATAAGATTTTTATAATAAACATATTTTTATCCCATTTAGTACAATTATTAATTATAAGCAACCACAAGTGTTATATTTAATGCATTCCAAATGAGGATGAGGTGAAAGCTATATTTTCAACTTTATATTCAGCAGTTAATATACTCAAGTAAATAATAAAGATACATAGGAGTATTACTATCAGTTTATTTACACTGTTTATAATTAAAATATTCTACATTTACACATCACAATTTTCTAAATGTACATACCCTACTTGTGTACCTCGCTTGACAATGCTGACAAAAAATTCTAGCAATTTGTTTTCAGTTAAATCCTTATATCCTTCCAATTATATTTGTATCACTGACAACTGGAGATTATTTTTAGTAGGTACTATAAATGTGGCTAACTTTCCTTAAAAGGTTCATTAACAGTTGTTCAATGCCTTTGAAGTAAATAGTGAATTTATGCTCAGACATATACAAGCTATACAATGTATTGTATTATGTTCATCAGTTCATGTGCTTGTTTCAGAAATGAGGGTTGCAGACTACACAAATAGCCAGTACATTATTTCCAAACACCCCAAGATGACAGCCATCAATGCCTGTATAGAGGTGGACCTTACAGGTCAGGTTGTGTCTGACTCTATTGGTACTATGATGTACTCAGGTAACATCAAGGAAAATATACACTCAACTCTTTAAATAGTTTAAATTATAAATAAAACACTGGACTTCTAAAATCAATTTTTGGATGGCTACTTAGTTTAGCTGCAAAGATGTTTTTAAATATCTTATTTTGCATTGTTTGTTTTTAGGATTTGGTGGTCAGTTGGACTTTATAAAGGGTGCCGCAGATGGATTCGATGGCAAAGGGAAACCAATCATAGCTACAACATCAGTGGATAAAAATACAGGAGAATCAAAGATAGTTGCAATCCTGAGGCCAGGCAATAAACTTGATTTAAATCTGTAGGCTTACTTTAAACATAAATATTATCAGCAAATACAAGAACTGTCTATGAATTAATTATGTCATGGAGCTCATGTCGTGACAATTTATTTCATACATTTTGTGTTAGAAGTTAAAACATTTCTCACAGAAAGTAATCACAGAACGTGAATCGCGATTCATACTTGGTGGGATCTTAAATTTTTCTTCACATTGTTTTCAGCTATAAATGTGACAAAGCTAATTCTTTCATAGGATAGGAACCACCTAGAATAGTAGAGGGTGAAGTAATGATTACAGCGCTGGTGTTAGATTTGAATTAGCTAGCTTAATGAGACAATTATTTACAGACTAGCTTCGTATATTGTGAACCTCTAAAATCTTATTTAAAAAATTAGTAACAATCTTCTGATTGCAGGTTCTGGAGTGGTGGTGACTCGAGGCCATATTCATTATGTGGTCACAGAGTTTGGTATTGCATCTTTGTTTGGAAAGACACTGCGACAACGAGCTCATGCTTTGATAAGTGTAGCTCATCCAAACCACCGAGAATCATTGGAGAAAGCTGCCTTTGCCAGATTTAAAGCTATGCCCTGTCCTTAAATATTTTTACTAATTTTGTATTTATACTTTTATTTTGTGTAGGTATGTATGAATTTGAAAGATATAAATTTCTACTTCCCAATTTGTGTCAAGTATAAAACTTAAAAGTTACAATTTTTTTTAAAATTTAATCTGGTTGATTGAGTTCCAGTTTGAATTTGGTATTGGAAATTACATTCGAAAAAATCATTAAAACTTATATACGAGTATTTATAAAAAATTTGGTTTTTCTTTGCGAGTTCTTTGGCTCTTCTACCCAACCAATTTTTCATGATTGAGGTCTCAAATTGAAGGTATGCACGCAAAGATTTCACATCAAGCATTGGCATAAATTTATCTACACTCCCACTCGACTTATATGTAAACAAAATTTGATCCCCAAGTATTTCTTATGGGAGTTCAAGTTGCTTTGTCTTTATCAAGTTCTTTTGGCTCTTCTACGTGACCGATTTTCATGATTGAGGGCTCAAATTGAAGGTACCTATACGCACAGATTTCACATCAAGCATCGCCATATTTTTTTGTACTGTATTACTTGACCAAAAAACATAAATTTGATTTATTTTTGAATTCTTACATCAATTTAGGATGTATTTCACCAGTTATAATTATATAATCCTATATATTTTGGTCCCCAAAATATCCCAGCCCTTTCTTTTTTAATTGATTGCCAATAACAACACCCCAAGCATCAAAGGGTGGGAAGGGGGGATGTCTGTTTGGCGATTGATATGTAATCTCAAGTGTCAAAACATTGTCTTTACTTCAGTCAATGTTTATTATCTGACAGTGACAGGTTTTAACTCATTTGTTTCCATCCAAGTGTTTCTTACTTATCTTGCCGTAATATATATTTTAGTTGTAGTTAAATTTGTTTAATACATAAGTTATTAAGGTAAAAAGTTTTTAAGTACAGTAGATTAAAAACATTTGTTTGCAATGGCGGGCGAGTGTGATATAACGTGGCCAAACTTAAGTGACATATTTCAACAGGTTGGAAAAATGAAAAGGGTGGAATCGCGTTAAAATGTTTATTGTGTTTACCAAAAACTAGGGGTCTGCGGGTCCCCGAATTTTTCGGGTCGGGTCGGGCCAGTGAAAACCCGAGAGACCAGGACGGGTCGGAGAGTTGTTCAGGCCAAGATCGGGTCGGGCCAAAAAATAATAATTTATTTCCAAAGAAACACTCTTATATTATATCTATTATTGCAGAGGAATTAAAATGTTCAAATGAGAATTAAGTATTAAGTTTGCTCACGACCTTTAAGAATAAAGACACAACAAACCAGCAACAAACAGAGCAATTACCACACTGCCACTAACTAACCAGAGCTAGTCCAGTCGTCTACTGACAACTGACATACTGACATGACAAGACAAAATCCGTTACGCAACACAGTGCAAAGAAAAATAAACGGTATCAGCATTCTGACACATACTTTCTCCCATAAGTTTGTCAATAACCTTTATCATGTGTAAGCGGCGAGAGTAAATATGTGGAAATGGGATTTGTACAATTTTGTTCAGAATTTAAAGACGATAACGTACTAAATTTTTATTAAAATCGTTCGGGCTATTTTTGGGAAAATCCGATTTTTCCGTTATTTTATGGGGTTTTTTACGGAAAAATAACATAATTTATAATAACTTTTTAAACATAATTTTTACAAAAATGGGATTTGTACCATTTTTTTCAGAATTTAAAGGGCTACAACATACTAAATTTTTATCAAAATCGTTCGGACCATTTTTGAGAAAATTCTATTTTTCCTGTTTTTATGGGAAAATAACATAATTTACAATAACTTTTGAACCGTAATTTTTACAGAAATGGGAATTTTTAAATCCCCTTTAAAAATAAAATTTAAAAAAAAATGAAAAAAACACCTGGAGATACCATGGATCAGAATTTACATACCAAATTTCATCGAAATCGGACCACAGGTGTAGTCGTCCTTAGTTCTGTACACATCCAGACGCACAGACACCAAGACACACAGACACACACAGACATCACTTCGAAAACCACTTATTTGGGTCCAGGGGGACCGAAAATGAATATATCCACTCAAAACTCAAACTCGAAAATTTTGACGAAAACAATACTTTCTCCATACCTACTATGGTATAGGGGGGGGGGAGGTAAAAAGACAAAAGAAAGACTATTTATCCAGAGGTCCCAGTTTAATTATTTATTTTTATTCCATACCTAGTTAAAAATATATTACCATTAGAATAGCTTAAAGTTGATGTGATCGGCTTAGGAAAAAGATTATGCACTTTTTTATGCTAGGAGTTTTAATTGAACGCGTTTTGTTAAGCCATAGCTACGTATAATGTACAATACGGCCTCAAATATGCTTATACAATGCATGAATTAATTAGTTTTTCCTACAGTCACCCGACAAAGTTGGCTTCCTTGTACTGTTTATAGTACAGAAAGCTGCTAATTGCTGCATATTTATACTTTGCCGTACGGTTTATACTTTGCCGCACATCAGGATTCCAACGAAACAACACAAAACAGCGTGGTTCTATTATGCACGTAATCCGTGTACGCTTGGAAATAGGTTGGTAACACTTAAAGATAAGGGTCGCCGGAATTTTATCCCCCTGGGCAAAGCTGACGTCACTATGACGTAGTAGCCTGAGTGGCCAAAAGTTTGTTCGTGGCCGGAATTTTACCCCCGCGGATTTGGAAGTCTAGGTAATGAAAATAGTCAGAGCGTGATTAATTAGATTAGCGATAAAAACCGGAATTTTACCCCCTGTCCATATCACTAGCGTTTAGACAACTGAAGATGTACGGGCCGGATTTTTACCCCCGGAATTTTACCCCCGGATTTTTACCCCCCGGAATTTTACCCCCGGAATTTTACCCCAGATTTTTACCCCCCGGAATTTTACCCCCTGGCCGATTTTAGAAATTGAATGATTGATTTTCTTATTTCTGTTTTTAATTAATTGTAAACATTTCATTATTTAGTAGCCTATATTTATTTATTTATTTTGTAATCTCAACTAATACAGAATTCGCTGTTTTATTTTATCATATTAACCAACAGTTGGAATCAAAGATCGAATTCTGATACTCGAATCTCAAAATTGAAATTAAAAACCTGTTCGATTAGTTAAGGTTACAAATAATTTAAGATAGGCTACTTAATAATAAAATGTTTACTATTAAATTAAAACTGAATGAAGATAATCAATCAATCTCACTAATTCATATATCTGGCCAGGGGGTAAAATTCCGGGGGTAAAATTCCGGGTGTAAAAATCCGGGGGGTTAAATTCCGGGGGTAAAAATCCGGGCCGTACATTCTAGGTTTTTATAATTTGATGTGTTCTGATTAAATTCACAACCGTGAAAATATATGTTTAAATCCGCGTTTAATCCATCGAGCTAATGTCGCGAAACCCAAAAGTTCGCGGCCGGAATTTTACCCCCTAGTTTGTGACGTCACGTTTGCCCAGGGGGTAAAATTCCAGGGGGATAAAAATCCGCTACCCCAAAGATAATAATACTATGAGCAGCTGATTGACTATTTATAACTACGATTTAACCTGTAATTTCGTGTTTATAGTTTCGGTATTTCTGAACTTTCTGGACTTTTCTTTTAAACGTTTTTAAAACATTCCTACGATCTTAATAAACAAGAAAATACCTTTCTTTAAAGCATTTTTTAGGTGCGGAAACCACTTCAAATTACAAAAACATACGGAACTATATTCTCAAAACGCGGAGCACATTTCTTGCCGAGGAAAAATAGCGGAGTGATACGGACTTCGGGTACTACTACTTTCTCTATAGGGCACCATTTGTCCATTTGTGTTGCCAGCTGGAGCTGAACCTAAAAACGTGTTGTATAGTGTTTGAAAATTGAAAGACACTACTGCGGCTCGTGCGTAAACATTGCTCTCGTGTGCAGCAAAGTGCCACTTTGCCCACTATTAACGCGCGTATACACGTTTTATCAAGGGATTATTGACATTATGTAAAATCATCATTTCGCACCGTATTGTCTTTGAATTGCCTTTCCGACATCCCTGCAAAACACGTTTGTGGCCTCCGCAGGTACCAACCCGTATCTATTGCAATCCGAAAAAGCGCCGATGAAAAGAAAAGAGCCAAAGCCGCTCGCACAGTGTGTCCACAGCTTGTACAATTGTACAAGATCTAGTACATTTTGATATTTTCTTGTACCCTAGTACATTGTTCACTGAATCTTGTACATTTTCCCTCAAAATCTGTTTTTATAAAAATTGAAAAATACATGCAGTTTGGGGGATTTTAAAGTTTATAAATAACAGTTGGTAACTCCGGATTTTCATCTCTTGGTTGAATTGTAAAGACCATACTATGTAATTTTATAAAAATAAATTAATTACCGGCTTAAATAAAATACATGAATAAGCAATAATGTACTGCCTTCCTTAGTGGATTTTCATTCTTATGGAACAGCTGAAGCCAATTTTATTGTTATTTCTGCCCGGTGAACTGTATAGAGGTGATGTTTTGTTTATAGTTTTTCTTGTTATTCCAGTTAGTTTCTTTTAAAACTTCGTTTAACAATTAAAAAAAACGATCTTATCATAAACAATAGCTTGTCTCCTAGTTATAAAGTCACACAGTATAGCGCAAATAATGAAATCAACCCTAAAATAAAATAATAGAATCGGAATTTCGACGATACTAGCGGTCAGTGTCACCGGACATGAACTAGACACGAAAAACGAGCTTCAAAATTTACAATGTGATGAGAAGTCTACTTGTGTTATGAAAGAAGTCAGAATTCTGCATTTAAAGTCAGAATATAACTAGTAGGTGTTCACTTCTGAGATTAAAGTCAAATTTATCAAAAGGGCGTTCCTCTCTATCAAAAAATTCGAACTATAAGTTTTATGTTAAAAAGTGAAGGTGAGAGGAGACCTGATTAATTTAATGGTTGTATTTCTATGGGAGCGTGTCAAGGTGCCACCACGACAAGGATAAAAACGTCAAAAAAACTTTGGTTATTCCAAGGCCACACTAAAAAAACGTTATTCTCTGGTATGGTATAACACAGACAGAGAGCCAAAAAGTAGTATTACTCTATCTTTTGTGAGATCTTGTACCTACAGTAGGGAATCTTGTACATTTTTCAGGGAAATTTAGTACCAAAATGTGGTACCCCTCACCCCTGTGGACACACTGGCTCGCATAACTTCACGTCACGGCTTCACGACGGTGACGCGGTGACGGTGGCGCAAGGTGCAATACACTACGACTGGAAAATATAGGGCCTAGCTAGATGACAGCAAGAAATTTTTTGATCGTGTCGTGATTTTTTTTGTGTAATTCATTATCAGGGAGTTATTATTATTATTTAAATTAAATAAGTTTTTCTTTTGGTAGTGGGGTGCGGCAGAAAGACTAAAGATTAAGACTTGAAGAGAAGACTGTGTGTGTAAGAGGTTAACGTCAAAATCAAAATAAACTTTGACTTTAGCAGTGTATTGAAGTTGTCCTCTGCTGAACATTTGTGTTGTTAGAGAATATACTACTAGGCCTACTACTTTAAACAGATTCTTGGTCAAAAACACTTTAACGTCAGTACCGGTATCAGTTATCAAATTCCAATTCTGAAATATTGAATAGGCCTAGGCCTACATAACTTTAAAAGTATGGCTGCTCCGGTGCAAAGATTGTCTTTGCGTTTCAATAAAGTATTAAACAAAACCAACTGGGGAGCTTCTACAATATCTTCAACTAAACACAGTAACAAACCTAGGACGTATTTTACCTACAGTCCTGAAATAGCTCAACCACTTCAAAGGGAACCAAAGTGGACGACTGCAGAAGAGGCAGTAAAATGTATCAAGTCAGGTAGGATAACATCATACCTAGGCTAGGCTAGGCCCTACTTAGGCCTAACTAAAACATTAAGTTAACCTGGTAAAGTAGGCCTACTTACTGCCAAAAATTAAATTAATAGCCTACTAGGCCTATAGCCTGGTTTAAACGAGTAGAGTTGTGGGTAGAGTAGAGTTTCTAGTAGAGTAACTCTACCCGTGTAAACACCCACTTAGCGCCTAGTAGCTAGTATAGCCTAGTAGGTGGTAGAGTAGAGTTACTAGCAACATGTGGCATAGTAGCTCACTACTTCCCCCCAACACTAGCAAAATTGTCACTCTCCTGCACATTATACTTGTGTAAATGTGATCCGCGGCAGTAGAGTAGAGTTTTTAGTAGAGTGACACTGGCCGATTATAGAAATTTAATGATTGACTTTCATTTTTTCTGTTTTTAATTAATTGTAAACATTTAATTATTTAGTAGCCTAACTTATCTTTATTGATTTATTTTGTAAAGAAATGTTCGAAACAATTATCATTCAGTTGATTGTTTATACGTCATATTAACCAACTGTTGGCTACAAAAATCGAATCCTAATATTAGAATCTCAAAATTAAAATTAAAAACCTGTTCGATTACCTAGTTAATTTTACAAATACATTAAAATAGGCTTCTTAATAATAAAATATTTGCTATTAAATTAAAACAGAATGAAGATAATTAATCATTCTCACTAATTTATATATATCTGGCGAGGGGGTAAAATTCCAGGGGGTAAAAACCCGGGGGTAAAAATCTGGGGGGTAAAAATCCGGGCCGTACACTTTAGGTTTTTATACTGTGATGTGTTCTGATTAAATTCACAACCGCGAAAATATATGTTTCATTCCGCGTTTAATCCATCGAGCTGATGTCGCGAAACTCAAAAGTTTGCGGCCGGAATTTTACCCCCTGGTTTGTGACGTCACGTTTGCCCAGGGGGTAAAATTCCAGGGGGATAAAAATCCGCTACCCCTCATAATGGGACATAACTGTGTCTCCAAGTTCAGCAGCTTTCTTTCCTTAGTTGAAGAAGCCATGTCCTCCGGCCACAATTTTACTGATATCATTATTGTCGGTGACTTCAACATACCAGGCATTAATTGGGACCATCCACTGGACAGAGGCAACACTCAATCATCTGGAGTGGTTCTTACTTTGATGGAACTTTTTTGTCTAAAACAAATTAATCACGTTTTTAATGCAAGAGGCGTCTTATTAGACTTAGTACTGAGCTCTAATATGAACTTCACTGTGTCCTTGGAAAACGATTTTTTTTTTACATGTTGAAGAGAGGCACCACCCCCCTATATCCATCATTTTGCCTTACAACTCCTCTAAAAAACAAATGTCCTCCAAGAAGAAGCAGTATACAAAAGATGCCGACTAGATGTTGTCCATAGATCTCTTTCCTCTATAGATTTTTCGTCTATCTTGAGCACACCTGATCTAAACCAAGCCACTGATGAATTTCTTTCTGTAATTGCTGAGGTTGTCAAGGAAAACTTGCCTTTAAGAAGGGTTGGCTCTTCTCCATTTCCTAGATGGTTCTCCAACGACTTAAAAAATCTAGTGATCACTAAGAAAATCCTTCACAAAAAATATAAGCAACATCCAACAGTCTACAACTACCAATCCTTTGCAAATACTAGGGCTCCGTGCAAGAGTCTGGCAGTCAGCAAACATAAGAAGTACTTAAGAACAATTGAGCAGGGTATACCTGGGATTTCTGTTATTTCTGGAGTCACATCAACACTCTAAAAAAGTCTTCCACAATACCATCCCGTCTTGTCTACAATAGTTCCATCGCAACTGAAGCTGATGACATGTGCAACCTCTTCAAGAATTTCTTTTCTTGAGTTTTTACAAAGCCAACGGAATCATTTGATGTGTCAACCTTTGGTCACCTTAGATACTCCCAAACTGTAAGGTTTAGCCCACGTGAAATCTTTGAGAAACTTGAAAAGCTCGATGACACTAAAGGATGGGGTCCTGATGGCATACCTCCAAAGGTATTGAAACTCAACAGGTGTTTACTGGCTTCACCAATCTGTGACATATTTAATGCCTCAATGGACACTGGTATCTTTCCTGGTGCATTCAAAAGGGCTTACGTGGTACCGATTCATAAGGCTGGTCCAGTTGATAATGCTGCTAACTACAGGCCAATCTCGATTCTTTCCTCTCTACCGTATCTAAAGTATTTGAAGACCTTTTCCTTGATCAAATCAAACATAAACTTGCAGGGATTGTATGCTCTCAACAGCACGGTTTTACAACAGGAAGATCAACAGTGTCTAACTTGATTCTCCTGCAAACCCGAGTTCAACAAGCCTTTGCCTCAAACAAACAACTTGATGGTGTTTATTTGGATTTCTCCAAAGCCTTCGATACGGTGGACCACACCCTTCTGCTGCGGAAAATTCAGGACCACAGCTTTGGAAACAAATACTTCAGGTGGCTGGCTAGTTATCTGTCTGACCGTAGTCTCAATGTCAAGTATGCGTCGGCTCTCTCCTCCGAATTTATTTCATACTCAGGGGTACCCCAGGGATCGTTACTTGGTCCGTATCTCTTTACAGTCTTCATTAATGACCTCCCTGATGCACTTCTGAACGAATCTCTTCTTTTCGCTGATGATGTAAAGATTTTCTCCACTATATCTTCTTTAGATGACTGCCTCCGGATTCAGAGAGATCTGACTGGTCTTGATCGTTGGTGTGAGGACAACAGGATGAACTTGAATATTAAGAAGTGCCAAGTCATTACTTTTCATCGCTGCAAAGTCCCTATAAACTACAATTATTCAGTTCGCAACATAAATATTGACAGAGTGCAGCAAGTTAAGGACCTCGGCATCATCTTAGCGCATTGAACTATCAAGCTCATGTATTGGATTTATGCTGCAGAGCAAACAGAACGCTCGGTTTCATCTTCCGTTTCTCAAAGCAGCTCAGTGGTTTAGAAGCTCCAAGTCCCTTTACTGTGCCTTGGTGAGGCAAACTCTAGAATATGGTTCACCAATATGGAGTCCTCATCAAAAGTTACTAATAAATGAGCTGGAGAAAATTCAACAAAGATTTGTACGAATGGTGGGCTTCAAGATGGGATTCCCATACCATCAGGTGCCCATTGACACTATATCCATGGCACTTAGTCTTCAGTCGCTGGAGGAACGTAGACTCACTGCTGACACGGTCCTGCTGCACAAGATTATCAACGGAAGAGTCAACTGTCCTGACATACTCCGACAAATCCATTTCAAGACTCCTTCCAACACAAGGTCGACTGATCTGTTTATTAAGCAACAGCACTGCACTAGCTACTCAGTCAACAGCACAATGGTTCGAGTCCAGGGAACTGGCAACAAAGTGACAAGGCATGTCGACTTTTTTCATGACAGCGTGACTACACTGAAAAAGAAGATTATCACTTTAACACTTATTGTTTAGTTTTTCCCCCTTTCAAAGTCTCTGACCTGTCTTGATTAAAAATTGTTTTTCGTTGTTACCATCCAAATACTAGGCCTACTTGTCTGTTCACTTCACAAATTCACTGTTGTCTTTGCATTTAACTATAGGTTTGTCATTGCTCTCTAGTAAATTTGATTTTATATATATTTATTAGTCATATATTTATCTTTCTCAGTTGTTATTGGTTGTTAGCTTGTGGGTTGTTTGTTGTTATTGTTTTCATATTATTTATTTATTGTTGTTGTTTTAAATTATTTATTTATTAGTAACCTTTTGTTATTTTGTCAGTTTTTGTTTTGTTCGGCTAGGTTTGTCATTGTTATTGTTGTTTGTTATTAGATCATTATTGAGCAGAGCCAGCGAAGCTCTTATACATCGACTCTTATGCATTTTGTAATACGCAAACTCCTCCTAAACGGCTGAATCAATCGTTTTCAAATTTTGCATGGTGATAAAGACCATATCGGTGAGTGCCAACATCTATATGGCGTTAAAAAAGTCTCTCAGGAATCCGCCCCACTGGGTCTCAAAGTTTCAATGTAATCCTTATGGATTCAGTATTTGACACATAAACAAAGACATATGATCAGCTGTTTTTGAATGCAGTAAATAAAGAGATAGCATTATTCCACAGATATTAGAACAGAAACGGTATGGATCATAAATATAATCAAATGACGACACTAGCTTGAGGTCCGTGACGTAGGAAGTGGTGAAGGAAGTAGTAAAGGTTAGCAGTCTGTCTGGAGTGTGGAAACTGTTTATGACGATTAGATTAAGGTATCTGCAATCCTAAAATTCTATGGGAAGGGAGGGAATCAGGTCCCCTTACAACCTTCCTTTCACTTCCTTTCAGGAAGTGGTGAAGGAAGTAGTAAAGGCGAACAGTCCGGAGTGTGGGAACTGTTTATGACGGGTAGATTGAGAGATCTGCAATCCTAAAATGCTATGGGAAGGGAGGAAAACAGGTCCGAGACGTAGGAAGTGGTGAAGGAAGTAGTCAAGGCAAGTTGTTTCCGGAGTGTGGGAACTGTTTATGACGATTAGATTAAGGTATCTACTATCTTAAATTGCTATGGGAAGAGAGGGAAACAGGTCCGCGACGTAGGAAGAGGTGAAGGAAGTAGTAAGATGAGCAGTGTGGAGTGTGGGAACTGGAAACCGTTTGTAGCAGTTAGATTAATGTATCTGCAAAGCTGAAATGCCATGAGAAGGGATGAAAGCATGCCCACAACATAGGAAATGGTGAAAGAAGTAGTAAAGGCTAGCAGTGCAGAGTGTGGGGGATGTTTTGTGGCAATTAGATTAACGTATTTTAAATATTAAAATGATATGGAAAGTGATGAAAACAGGTCCACGACGTAGGAAGTGGTTAGGAAATAGTAAAGTATGAGCATAGTGTGAGAATCGTCTGTGGCAGTTAGATTAATGTATCTTCAATCCTAAAATGTTATGAGAAGGCAAGGAAATAGGCCCCACGACGGAGGACGTGGGGAAGGAAGTATTAAAGGCTGGCAG